GCTGTCATCACTGCACTCCGCTGCGTTTCCATCACAATGACAGTTTATGACTGTTCAGTAAACCATTCGGCCCGCGATTTAGGCTGGATTTTAGATTTTGGCCCCTTCTCTGATTGAGTTCGACACCCCTAGGTTACACTGACCTAGCCGCAGCTGTAGTCTCTTACCAGCGGGTGGGATTTGTGGGGGGGCGGGGGGGGGGCGGGAAGGGAATAGGTGGAGGGGCAGCCTGGCATGGTCCGGCCCCTCTCTCTCCCCTCCTCTAACGTGCACAAGAGGAAGCACAGGAAATGAACAAAGGAACCCAGGGGACTCCAGGGAGAGGGGAAGGCCACCTGGAGGGTGAGGGAAGGAGGCAGTTCTGGAAGGAGACTTCCTGTGGTTGGGGTCTTTGCTGCTCATCCTAAAGGCCCAGAGAGTAATCATCAGCAAGAGGGCTCAGTGGGGGTCTAAGAGCTATGTGACAGCAAGAGGAGACAGAACAATACAGAAACGCATGAGGTGCGAACTGGCGGGACAGAGGGGACACGGGCAGCACGGAGAAGATGTGTGATTGGGGCAGATAAGGCTGGCCCCCAGGAGACAGTCAACGACCGCAGGCAGTTTGTCATGACTCAGTGTCACTTATCTGAGGCCCAGGCTGCAGTGAGGTGGTGGGAAGGATGGACGGAGCACCGGCTGGGCATCAGAACTGGGTTTGAGTCCCAGCTCCAAGTTCGACCACAACCTGACCCTGGGCACGATGGCCCGCCGGCTGTGTCTCAGGCTGTGCTTCTGTAGAGAAGAGTCTTGGTCTGGATCTGAATGGAGTTTGCCCGGGGAAGTTGCTAAGTCTGGGGTGAGTAGTCCCCGGCCGGGAAGGCTTTATGGGGAGGGTGGGTGGGCGGGCAGGCATTTGATCCGATGGAGGTGAGTGAAGGCAGGGCAGGCAAGGGAAATGTGAGCAGGGGCGCAAATGAATGGGCATGCTGGAGGCTGAGGACAGCGGGAAGTGGCTTTGCTATGACGGGGGGAGGGTGGGGGGGGTGGGTTTGAAGGAAGAGAGAAGTGGGGGGGGGGGAGGAGTGGAGTCAGGTTGCAGAAGGCCTCAGACACAGGCAGGGATGCTTAAAGCGGCTCCATCTGGAAGGAGGGGTCATCCTGGGGCTGGATTACCATGTGACTAGGCTGGTTTTTAGCAGGAAAAATGGGGCCTGGACCTCAGAATGACTTGGATGGAGGGAAGTAGGAATCAGGGAGGCAGCCAGAAGACTCCTGTAATATTCCTGGCATAGGATGGTGAGGTGGGTGGGGGGGGGAGGGTTGGAAGGAGGCAGCGGTTCAGGCCTAGAAATAACGGGAAATACTGATAGGCCTTGAGGCCTGTCTGCATTCGCGTGGTGGGGAGGAGTGAGTCACCTTGAGTAGTTTCTCACTCAAAGACCAGGGAAGAGCCTGACTGGTGTGGCTCAGTGGTTGAGCATCGACCTGTGAACCAGGAGGTTATAGTTCATTCCCGGTCAGGGTACATGCCCAGGTTGCAGGCTCGATCCCCAATGGGGGTATGCAAGAGACAGCCAATCAATGATTATCTCTCATCATTAATGTTTCTATCTCTCCCTCTCCTTTCCTCTCTGAAATCAATAATCAGCCGAAGCCGGTTTGGCTCAGTGGTAGAGCGTTGGTCTGCGGACTGAAAGGTCCCAGGTTCGATTCCGGTCAAGGGCATGTACATTGGTTGCGGGCACATCCCCGGTAGGAGGTGTGCAAGAGGCAGCTGGCCGATGTTTCTCTCTCATCGACGTTTCTAGCTCTCTATCTCTCTCCCTTCCTCTCTGTTAAAAATCAATAAAATATATTTGAATAAAAAGAAAAATTTATTGAAATCAATAATCAATAAATAATAATACTAAAAAGACCAGGGGAGAGAAAGCATTGGCAGCCCTCCTGTCTGCAAACATTTCATGTCAGGGTAGCTTGGCCACTAAGAGGGTCAGCTTCAGTGTGGCTTCGCTCAGAGATCCCAGTTGTAATGGGGCCCGGTGGTGGTGGTGGTGGTGGTGGTGGTGGTGGTGCGAGCAGGGGGCTGGGCTAAGGATATGCATGCTCTGGATCACAGGGCTCATTCCATGTGGAGTGCCAGGCTCTTTGCGAGGTTTGATTCCGGTCAAGGGCACATGCCCAGGTTTTGGGCTCAGTCCCCAGTAGGGGGTGTGTAGGAGGCAGCCAATCAATGATTCTCTCTCATCATTAATGTCTCTCTCTCTCCCTCTCCATTCCTCTCTGATACAATAAAAAATATATTTTTTAAAAATCTTAAAAAAAATTATATGCTCTCTTGAGGGTTAATACTTCTTTGGAGGGATATTCCTTCTGGTATAATATTTTAAAGGTGTGTTAGCCACATACACAAGAATAATGGATAGGGCTGGCTTAAAACATTTACTAAAGAAGGTATAGGCCTGGGGTGACTACCCATCATGAGCAGCCTTATTAGAAATTCATGATGCACCCACCCTGGGGGGTTACTTCCCACAGAACCCCCTTTCTGTCCACAAGAGCAATTAACAAAGCACAGTCCTCAGTCCTCAAGGAGCAGCCAGCCTGAGTCAGGCAGAATCCTATTTGCTGCGCTCAGTGTTCTCACTCACCAGTTGGGCTCTCTAGCCATGGAGGCAGTGTTTTTGTTTTTTTTTAAAGATGATTTATTTTTTTTTTTATCTTGTTAATCCTCATGAGAGGATATTTCTTCCACTGGTTCTTAGAGAGCAAAAGGTTCCCCACTGAGCCTGTACTCTGCTTGCCATAGCAAGTAAATCTGCAATGTCCACTTTGCACATAAAATGTCTAACTGCTTGGCTGTTGGAGATTTGTACTTCAGAATATAATTGTACATCAGTTTTTATATTTGTGAATTCATCTGTGGGAGGAGTAAAGAAAATGCAAGAGTATTTAATGATGAGTGTGGTTTTCCTTTCATTCTATAAAGATTTATATAGAGAGAGCAGAAAGGAGAGAGAGAGAGAGAGAGAGAGAGAGAGAGAGAGAGAGAGAGAGAGAGAGAGAGAGGTGAAAGAGACGTATTAATTAGTTGCCTCCACCTGGGCATCAAACCTGCAATCCAGGTACATGCTCCAGATCAGAATCCAAAGAGCCTCCAATGTGCAGGCCGATGCGCTAACCACTTAAAACACAGTGGCCAGGGTGGTAGTGTGCTTGGTGGATGCCAGAAAACCTGTTTCCTGATTTATAATGATACTGTCAAGGGGGCAAGTCTACGTTTCGTAGAACTTAAAGCTTAAATAATTTCAGGGAGCCTCTTTGGAAAATAATTCAAAATTACAAGTGTAAAGTTCCCAGGTGCTCTCAGGGGGTGGGGGTGGGGGGGAAGATTCAAATGAGAAGCCTGAGGTTTAACCCTCAGCAGCTCCCCAGTCAATCTTATGGTAATACCTACTGTTTCTTAAGCATATTTAAGAGGGTGTTTAAGTTGTGGTATTTCAGGATGACCGAGGGGAGGTGGGCATTAGAATCTCCAGTTTATGGATGAGGATGCAGGCTCAGAGAGGAGACTCAGGATGTCACGGTCACCAAATGTCAGGGCCTGGCAGTGCTCTGGACTGAGAGATCTATCCTCAAGGGCCTCACCTGAGGCCCTCTTCAACGGTGACGGAGGGGTCAGGCCCCTAAGCTTCCTGAGGAGGGCTGTCCTGGGTCTAAGCCATCTCCGGATTTCCACTTCACCTTTCCAAGGCTGGGGTAGAGGTAGGGGGTGCCGTCTAGCCACCTCTAGCCATCTTGGGGCACCACATGGTGCAGCCGTGGTCCCAGGGTTGTGGCCTAATATTTAGGCGGAGAGCTACCTACATACAACCGGGAGGGCTGCAAATCCCAGGGGTGAGCACCGGTCTGAAAACAGGTCTCATCCTGGATCTGCAACTTCCCGCTTGTATCAAGTGCCACACGATTCATGGCCTCCCTGAGCCTCACATTTCTAAATCTGTTGAATCAGGGCAATATTGGAGCTCATTACAGGTCATCTTCTTACGCAGCAAAGATACTCATGGTGTCAGCACACGGAAAGAATAAATCTAAGCATGGGAAGATGGCTATCAGTCCTAGCAGCGGCATAAATACGCCTGATTCCGCATCTCCCCTCCCCCTTTGAAGCTGGCTAACTTCCTCTGGGGAAGTAAAAAAGGTGGCAGCTCGGAGGGGAGCCTAAACTCTCCGCCCCAACAGCCTGGGAGCCTGAGAGGAAGTGGAGGCCTGGAGGATGGGGTCAGGCTGGGACCTGCGGCCCAAGCCCCGCCCCGCAGGCGCGTACCCTCGGGGACAGAACCGATGATTCAGGGGGGGGGGAGCGTGCGGCCAGCGGTCCTAAAGTTAGCAACACACGCCCAGCAGCCCGAGCTCAGGCCGGGCTAGCCGGAGGCGCCGAGACTCAGGCGGGCCGGGTGGTACCGCGTGACGCACTGGGCGTGAGCACGGGGTGGGAGTTGGGGGGCGGGGGGAGCCCCGCGCTGGGCCCCTGGAGCCACGGGGCCGCCTGGCGCGGGATCGCGTGCGAGGATGGCCCTGCGCGCTCTCGGCGCCTCCTTCTGCCCGCCCCTCCCGGCGTCTCCCCGGGGGTAGCCCCAGTGTCCAGGAAGGGACCGCCCCGCCTCGCTGCAAGCCCTCTCCCGCCGCTCGTTCCGCAGAGCCGGGGATGCCTCCCCACGCCCCGCCCCGGTGCCGCCGCGCGTGGCGGGGAGCGCGGGGAAGGGCCTCCCGCTCCCGACGTGGGGGACGTGCGGAGACATGCCGCCCGGGGCAGGGGGGGGGGAGGGAGAGGATGTCGGGGCGCCGCCCGCCGCCTTTCCGGCGCAGGAGGGAGTGGCCGCCGCGCCCTCCCCGCGCCCCCGCCCAGGTCCGGGCGCCGCCGCTTGGGGCGCTGCTGGGGCGCGCGGCAGCCAATGGGCGCCGAGGAGGCGGGGCCGCGGGCGGACGGGAGCGCGCGAGCCGCGGCCGCGCCCGGGCCGGGGGGGCGGAGCCGGGGCGCGGGAGGAGGAGGAGCCGCGGAGCAGCAGCCGGAGGACCACTGCTCCCCAGGCTGCGGAGGACGGACTGCCCGCGCCCCCGACCGCCCGCCAGCATGATCGCCGCGCAGCTCCTGGCCTATTACTTCACCGAGCTCAAGGATGACCAGGTCAAAAAGGTGCGTCCGCCCGCCCGCCCGCCGCCCGCGCCCCGGCCGCCGCCGTGCGTCCCGGCATCCGCTTTCCGCCGCAGCTCCATCCTCCCGCCAGCCCTCCCCTCGCCCGCGCCGGCGGGGCTGCAGGCGGCGGGGAGATGCTTGGCCCCTTGATTCCCGCAGGGATTGCGCGCGCGCGCGTGTGTGTTGGGTGGTGGCGGGGTCTGCAGAGGCAGACCCTGCGGCCGGGCAGCTTGCTGCAGTGTCCTTGAAACGGATTGTGGATGTCAGATGGGGCCGCGGGCTGTGCGCGGGGAGGTGGCCTGTTTTGCAAGGGACTGAGCGCCGTGGGCGGAGGAGGGATCGCGGAGATGCCGGGGTGGTGAGCACACTCTGCAGGCCGGGTGCTGGCTGCCTGGAGGCCAGACATCCCATATTTCGGGTTCCCGGCGGCGGGAGGGGGCGGAGGGCAGCATCGGGTGCTCCCAGGAACTGTCACCCCGGCTCTCCCCCAGCTGTGGCCTTGGCTGCTTCTTCATCTGAGGACCGAGGGACCCGCCTGGCTTCCCGGAACGCGGAGGAAGCCACCGGAAACTTTGCTCATAAATAGGCCCCGGGACTGGATTGGCATGTCTGAATGGAATTTTTTTTTTTAATTCCTCTACGTGACTGCTCTCTTAAAGCTGTAATTTCCAGCCAGCCCAGGGAGCACACATAAGAGGCTGGGCTTTTGAGTTGGATGGACGCTTTGACAAGCGTGCCTGACGGGTGTGCACTTGCACATGGCTGCAACTCCCAGGTGTAGTTGCCTTTGACATCAATACTGTCTGCTGGCAGGTCTCAACGATGCCTCTTCCTAGGGTGGGAAGCTTCTTAGGCTGCTCCCTTCTGCCGGCTTTGCCACCACGCTCTTCAGAAAGAACCTAGGCGGTGGGGAAAGGCCCGTTTTATTAGTGCCGGGCCTGGCGCGGCCTCCTGACCCACCCACGCCCTGAGCAGGTGACATTATTGCCAGGAAAAGCTGAGATGGATTAGCAAAGTCAGCCTCACGTGAAGAGTTCTAACAAGGGGCAGCGTGCTTACCCACAGGTGAGCAGCGTGAGCAGCAGGCCTGGATTTTCTGCTCTACAAGCCACAGGATGTTGGTGTCTTTCTATCCACCCGAGACAACCCCTTCCTCTGGCACAATAGGAAACAGGCCCGAGGAGGGTGACCTCGTCAAGGTCACCGCGAGTTAGAGGCGGAGCCGGGGTGTGACCCAGGCCTCCGCCTCTCTTCACGGGGAATGTGGCCAGCCCCTTCTTAGGAATCAGGAATTAGCTGAAGGGGAGGTGCTGAGCCAGAGGCCTTGGGGATGCTGCTTGGGTCCTAGGTCCGTGCTGAGTGGGGATCAGCGTGGGGCAGTCAGGACACAATCCGGGCACTCTGCCGCCATCCCTCGTGGCTGTGACGGTGACTCTGAAGTGACACTCGATTCCACAGGGGGAATTTAAGGCCTGGGAGAGTTCACTGCTCCCTCCCTGCACGTGGTACCCTCTGTAGCTCAAGACAGCAGGCAGACCAGTCCAGGTGGGGACTCACGACCTTGTAAGCCAACAGCGTCTACGCCCACCACCACCACCAGTGGTGGCCCCCAGGGCTGAGGTGGGTTGAGTTAGGACTGCACTCAGGGGGACCTGTTTTATCAGGCACACAGCATCGAGTGTGGCCCCGCTTACCCCCCCCCCCCCCCCCCCCCAGGCTCCGGTAGACATCTGAGTATGAGACTCCCGAATCAGCCGGTCCTCAAATCCCCCCTTCTCTGAGGTTGGGATTCGGACATCCCCCTCTCTGCCCTCCTCTGGCCCCAGGACCCTGCTGGAGGACCGTTTTGAGGCCACAGCTTCTGCCCGATAACATGATTGGTCAAGGGGAGCCTTCAGAACAAATGGCCTCTTGCACCATGGTTTCGTATGCTGCTTCCTAGGATGGGAGCGTGGATTCCTGCCAGGGGATCGGTCATCGTGGGCTGAGTGGCAGGGCCGTCCAGGGTGTGGTCCCAGGAAGCTGCCTCCTGAGCACACTTGTTCTGATGGCCTCGTCCGCTCGTTAGAGGCCAGCCCTTCCCACCCGCGCCGGCTGCAGGAGAAGCCGGGAGAGGGCCAAGAACCCCACGCCTCACCCTGGGCTTTACCTACCACATGACGGGGACTCAACAGTTGTGGGCAGCCATGATGATTCAGCCCTTCCGCTCCAGGTGGCCGTCAAGGCTCCACAGAGCACTGGCACCAGCTGGGAACCCTTTTCCGTCTTCTCGCCCTCTGGCCGAGTGTAGGTGGAGCGGGGGTGGGGGTGGAGTGGGTGGGGTGGGGTGAGGTGGTGATGCCAGCGAAGGTTTACTGGGATTGTTCCGGACACAGACGTGATCACGGTGAAAAGGGCATTATGTCTCTCCCTCGGAGACATGTCACTAATTCCACTTCATAAATATGTCCTGGCTTGGAGCAGGCTGAATGTCTGGCTTCCTGGCACGGAGCCCCATTTCCCAGACTGTGTCTGAACATTATTGATTGATAGAGCCCTGTGCAAAGAGCGTCCTGGCATTAGGCAGAACTAAGCAAAAAACCCAATTTCCTTTCACTCTTCTAGTGCCTTTAGGAGGCACCTGTGTGCTTGTGAAAGATCCCATTCATCAGAACCCCAGACATCTGCTCATCTGCAGCCAGAGACTGGGTCCTTTGACCTCCGAGTAACTTTTAACATGCCTCTCAGCTCCCCGGCTTCTCCCACTCGGGGTAGCCATTAGGAACCTGCGGGAGGGTGAAGTATCGCAGAGTCCTCTGTTGGCTTGGGAAAGGAAGAGTAGCCGGTAAAGTCAGGAACTTGGCCTTTAAAGAAATAGGACTTTCACCGAAACTGGTTTGGCTTAGTGGATAGAGCGTCGATCTGCGGACTGAAAGGTCCCAGGTTTGATTCCGGTCAGGGGCATGTACCTTGGTTGCAGGCACATCCCCAGAAGGGGGTGTGCAAGAGGTAGCTGATCGATGATTCTCTCTTATCAATGTTTCTAACTCTCCATCTATCTTCCTCTCTGTAAAAAATCAATTAAAAAAAGAAAAAAAAAAAGAAATAGGGCTTTCTTTTCTCTGGGGTTGTCAGAATGGTGAGCAATGGCCAGTGGATTTTCTCTGGGAGGGATCCCCCTGACCCTAAGTAATGCCCATTTGCCAGCGTGATTCGTCCCAAAGGCCAGAGCCCAGGAGTCTCCAGAGTGCTTGGCCAAGCAAGGTAGGGGAGAGTGTGCTTAGCAGTTAAAGGGCTATTTCCTCAGAAGCCCATGTGTCTCAGCTGCAAAAGCAAGCAGTAAAAAAATGCCCCCTCGCCGGCTTGGCTCAGTGGATAGAGCATCGGCCTGGGGACTGAAGGGTCCCAGGTTCGATTCCAGTCAAGGGCATGTTCCTTGGTTGCGGGGACATCCCCAGTGGGGGGGTGTGCAGGAGGCAGCTGACCGATGCTTCTCTCTCATCGATGTTTCTCTCTATCCCTCCCCCTTCCTCTCTGTAAAAAAAAAAAAAAAAAAAAAAAAAAAAAAAAAAAAAATCAATAAAAATACATTTAAAAAAATGTCCCGGATTGTTCAGGAGTGAGAGGGATGAATGTTAGAAAATGATGAAAAACGTCTCATGCACCTTCTGGTTTGGCGTTATACAAATACCCGGGAAGGGCCGCTCACTCCTCGGTGAACGTTCGCTGCACAGTCCCCATCCTCTGTACCCTGGATGTGCCCAGGAGTTCTTCTCCAAGAGGAGAAGCCCCGACACTTCATTCAGTTTGGCAGTCTGGGCCTGTCGTGAGGGAATGAACTTGGAAAGTGGGTAGAGAGGAGGGACTTCACATCTGGCCAAGCTGTGCTGTCCTCCCACTCTCCTGCTGTTTGCTGGCGAAGGCCTGGGCAGCTTTCTCCTAAAAGGACCGGTTTGGCACGACTAGTCCCGACTCCCTGTGTGTCTGCCTGCCGTCAGGGATTCCTGCCCGACGGAATGCGCCCCTGGAGTGGGCTCTGCATGCCTGAGGAGGCAGCCATGCAGCTCTGCGTCCAGGGAGCAGTCTTGGGAGCTGCTGGCACCTGCTCATTGATTTCAGGACCTTTACAATTAATCTGATCGTGGGAATTCAGTGGTTTCTTCAGAAAATGTGTAAGTCCTTTATCATGTGCCGAGAACTGTGCTAGGCTGGGGACAACTATGAACCTGGTCGAAATGGTCGCTATTCTCATGGAATATCAACAATTATTTGCTGCCCTAAACTGGTTTGGCTCAATGGAGCGTCGGCCTGCAAACTCAAGGGTCCCAGGTTCGATTCCTGCCAAGGGCACGTTCCTGGGTTGCGGGCATATCCCCAGTAGGGGGTGTGCAGGAGGCAGCTGATCGGTTTCTTTCTCATCGATGTTTCTAACTATCCCTCTCGAATGCCAGGAGAGCAGATAGGAGCCAGTGGCCAGATCTTGGGTGGGAAATCACCACCAGCTTGGGAATTGCTTAAAGCCAGGCTGTAGGTGTACAAAAGAAAATATTATACTTAGACACTTTGTAAAGGAGCGTCAGATGGTTAGTTACCAAATTGTAGTTTTTCTTTCTCTCTTTTTAATGATTTGAGCATCCCGAAACACTCCACGGGTGTCTTATCAGATACCACTTAGGTGTGCGTGCGGGCATGCTTGTCTATATGTCAGGGCCTGAGGCACTGAGCCGGTGTGTGGCAGGGCAGCCCCCTCCCCCTCCCAGCTCCTCAGGGCACCCTGCTAGCTCCCTGGTGTGCAGCAGGCAGAAGGCAGAGATTTTATCCGCAATTTACAAACAGGGACTGGAGTTCCAGAGGAGATACGACTTTCTCAAGGCCTTAAGAGAATCCGGGATGGGATTCAGAGGGCTGTTCTTGCTCCCTCTGCTCCCTTCCTCCAGAAAAACCCACCTTTGCTCATTTTAATGACTTCCTTTGGAATGTGTATTAATGTGTGTGAGTTAATTTTATTTTATGGAACAGGT